GTCTTTGTCTCCTCCTGGGTTGTGGTTGCTTCTCTAGCTGCAACTTTCTTCAGAGGGCAGTTCCTTGCGATATGACCCGGCTGGCCACATCCGTAACATAATCTGAACCGACTCTGTCGGTCTGTATCCATAGGTACACCTTGTCCGGGAAATACACCTCTCTGAGGTTGATCCTCAAACCTTCTTGCATACTGATTCGTCTGGGTTTTTGCCATCTGCTGTGGCTGCAGCTGTTGCACATGCTGGTGCGTATACGTCTGTTGTCTGTAGATAGGTCACGACGGCTGCGTAACTTCTCTCTTTCGTCTTTCGTCTAACTGGAACTCTTCTCTCCTTGCCTCCCATGCGTAGGCTTGCATTTTCCACTCAGCAAATGTTTTCGGTAGGTCTTTCTGGATGATGACAAAATCACAGATTCGAGAGTGAAGATTCTTTTTGAGAATGCGATTGATCACGTCAAAGTGAGTGGTAGCGTCATATCCGGCCTTGTCCATGAGCGTTGTGAAGTGGCTAAAGAATTCGTCGCAATGCTTATTCTCCTGTTTGTATATTTTGATCTCGTTTACCGCCTGCGATCTTTCGTTTGGATTCCCGAATACTTGGGCTAGATTGGTTAGGACGGTCGAGAGAGTCGGCCATATGGGGGTAGTTGCATCGAGAGCTTTGGTAAGCACATTCTCTTTCCAAGCTTTTACTGTCGATGTTCCTTGGTCGCTGATTTTGGACAGGAGGTAGATGAGTTTCGTTTTCTCGTCTGGAAAATAGGATGCATAGGCGGTTAAGTATAACTGTAATGCTTGGCGCCATGCTATGAATCGTTCCTTTTCTCCTTTGAATTCGAAGGGTTCTGCTGCTAGAGTTACTTTGCCGTGTAACTGCGTGGGATTAGACATGGATGGGGGTTTTGGAGGAATTGGAGGTGGAGGTGGGTGTGTAGGTGGTAGAGGTAGGGTTTGTCTGGGCGGAGTTTCCGGTTCTATGGACGGCTTTGGGTTTCGGTATTCGGAAAACACTTTTGAAGATGGAAATGAGGTTTATTTAATTTGAGTTGTAATCAAACTCGTCACTCCAATCGTTAGAAGTAAACCCAAAAATATTCCCTTCTTCTTCCAAATCTCTTTCTACCTGTGAGCTAGTGGTAGAGTTACTGTCCAAGTTCGAGGTTGCTTCGTCTGGTGAGGGGGTCCTTTCAATAAGAATGTTTCCTTGGATCAACGATGAGACGGGAGGGATATAAGAGAAATTTCCTCTAGTCAGATGGTACCCTCGTTTGTACTGCGAGTAGACTCTGTTGTTATCTCGAATAAGCACTCCCCAGAACTCGGTGTTGATTTCGGTAACAATGAAACAATCTGTGGGGTGGCGGATGACTAAATCAAAAACTTCCTTTGCGTAGTTTTGGTATTCTCTGAACAATCGGCAGACGTTCCTGATCTGTCTTTGTTCTCTTTCCCAATCTCTTCCTTCGAGGATCTCATGTCTGATCTTAAACACTAGTCTGCAAAATTGTGAGATGCAGGCTACTATCCTTCGTATTGCGTCGCGGCAGAAAGGGGTGACAACTAATACGTGGACTCCTGTTTTAAGATAGTCTCGTGGGTTAAAGGTGTTGTTCTGTTCAGGAGTGAGGGGAAGGTCAAAGAATGGTATTTCCCGATAGAACTTGATGAGATCGGTTTCGTAAATTCCAATTCTTGTAAAAAGAAGTTCAAGAGGGGTAGGATTAAATGACGCTGTAACGTATATGTCAATTCTGGATGGTTCAAGATAGGGCGTAAGGAATTCTAGATATGGTGCGGAGTAGGGCCTTCGGTGGATGATGATTCCACAGGGAAGTAGGTAATGAATTTCTCTCCCGTCCTGTTCTGGTGAGAACGCGAGTTGGGGAGTTTTGACGTAGTTCTGGAGGTGATAGATGCGTGGGGAGATTCCGTCGGATAGTATTAGAAGAGCTGTTTTATGTTCTGCTGCCCGTCGTCTGAGGGCTCGTCTTTCTTCACTGTTGTTCCGACAAGGGGGTTCTAGAATTCTCTGTTTGTAGACTTCAATCAGTAGGTGCTCTAGGTGTATCAAATTGAACCTGAACAATTCTCTGGATGCTTGATCGGATTCCCAGAAGCAGGTTCGAGCAGCTGCGGATGCGTCCACGAGTAAGCGCGACGTATTGGCGGAGTTGGGAGATTTTGAATGCTAAATCGTTGACGGCTAGAACTAGTCCTTCTAGTTCAGAGATGGGGGAAGAGGCGGCTGATGAGTCTTCGTAGTACTCAGTTTTTGTGTCGCTGTGGGCAGGCTGGGGGTCCGTGGCAGCGTTGACAGGTACTGCAACGTGGAGGTCTCTGTTGTTGAGGGCGCGGTGGAATTCCTTGAGTGAACGGCATTCTTCGTCCGTTACTAGACTCTCTCTGATGTTCGACACTTTGACGATTGTAGAAGTGATCAAAGACGACGGCTAGGGTGAGGACTTGAGCAAGAACAAGTAAGAGTATTACTTCGAGGTGGGTAAGAATGTTGGAGAGGACAACTAGCTAGCTTAGCTAGAAGGCAAGTGGATGTTTTTAACGGGTAGGAGGACGGTGAATGACAGCACGTCCGAGGGATGAAGGAAAAGGTAGGTTAGGGCTATAATGGGTTCAAGCAAGATGGTGCGCTGTGAACAGATTGTAGAGTGAGTTTTCTATTTTGTGAGGCAACGATAAACTATAACAAAAACGAAACCTGTCTCCTTCTGCACTTGCAGGGAGTAAGAGGTTCGATGAGCTTGAGGTCGACAGACACTAGTAAATATAGTGAGTAGAGGACTTTGAGAGGTAAGCTTCAAAGGTTCTTGTTGAGGAGTAAAGCGGGTAAATTCAGTAATAGAAAACTAAGGAGCCATACATGAATAGGTAAGGCTTTATATAGGGAACTGTCCGTTCCTCAGACCAAAAGGAGAATATACGAAAAGTGGTCTGAGGAATCAATCGACCAATAAGAAAAAGGGAGAGTAACTATTGTACAACTTTTAACTTGATTAATCAGCAGGTGAGAGACTTGTACTAATAATAGAGGGTTGTCACGCGTGTTCAGGAACCGTATCCTCATGATGAGGTACGATCCTAAATAAGGTGTTATTAGTATTACCAGGCTTTACTGGGGCTTGGAGCTGGTTGGCGAGATGCCTACTACCAGTCCCTACCCAGTGTGCTGGCTGGCTGGGAGCGATACCCAGTCTCTGATCTGTGATATAAAATGGTAGCGATGGTTAAGAAAGCCTGTGAGGGCTATGAGAAGTAGAACGGCAAATGATACCTCTAGCCCTAGAGCCAGAGGCGTAATGGGAAAAGCGTTCGAGAACCAAGACATAGCGAAGATAAGAAAATAATGAAATGGTCCTTCGGCCTTTATGCAGTTCGTTACACAGATGACTC